ACTTTTTACATACCTCATTACTCAATGACCAACCAAGTCCCTGACGTCTAAATAAAAGAAATAACACTTAAATATTAGGAACCAAGGACAAGAATTCATCCTACGCTGTATAACAGGCCCACTGTAGATCCTGACCACACTGCAAGCTGAGTATCCGTGAATTAAAAACATTAAAAAATAAAGGCAACATATGCTGCTGTTACATTTTGTAAACATTAACTAAAAAAGTTGAGGGTCTCCTCCGAGGTCACTATGTCTAAGTAACAACCCTGCTAAGCAAGTAATTAAATTCTTAAAAAAAAAAAAAAGCAGTAGAAAGTGCAAACTTGGAAGCAGTTCCCATTGTCCCTGCTCCTGGTACCTTCTCACAGTGAGAACAGACACCATGAATGACTCCACATGAGAGAAGCTCTGGCTGCTCAGAGCGTAGGCACCCAAAGCTTTGTGCTTAATCCATGCGTTCCTGTGATTAGTGCCGTGCTCCTTTACAAGCATTTAGGCAATATTAGACATTTCCTTTCCAGCACAAACGCTTGTAGAATTGCCCTGTTTTATGAGCTCACCTATCTATTTTCTGCTGCTTCGCATATTGCCAAAACAAAGGCACCACGTTTGTTTCAAGTAAAACTCCTAAGCAAGCTTACGTTAAAGCTTCAAATCAGTTTTGCGGAATTAGCAGAATTATGGTATTACTTAATTACTTTGGATTTTGGAAATGTTATTAATTTTAATACATTTGTCTATGTAAGCAGTAAATAAGTGTTTCATATGGCGATTTTGAAAAAACTCCTCTCAGAACACTATTTTCCTAAATCCGGTAGTGTGCGATAAATTATTTTAAACAATGTTGTGCAAATCAAACAGCTGAGCTGAGCTTGAGGTCACAGTGAATGACATCATTATCTCACTTTGCACGCTAATTACTGTAATAGCTGTGGCACTATTGTTCTCCATAATACTTTAGACTGCAGGAAGGTTAGAATTCAGTTTTAATAATTTAAAACAGCTCTTTGCTATACCATAACAGGGTGTGTGTTTTCATTTAGTATGGTATATTTTGGAATGCACAAATAATTTATTTAAATAAAGGTATATACAAATATGATGAAGGAAAAACTCTACAGAATTCAGTACAGTGGCTGCATGCAGTGAGAATGATGCGCTCTGGTTCGCCTTAAAGGAGTGGAGTATGTCGAAAACTAGGAAAAGTTTGATGGTGTGCTGCAAATCCCATCACCACATCGAGGGATCTTCAAACCTGTAACACACATTATGAATAAAAACACATTAAACACATGTAAAAGTCCTTTTTGAAACATCCAGAGTTAAAACTACTTAAAATTTTCATTTTAATAACAGTAGCAACACGGAATATGTATGCAAACTTGCAGCTGAAGACTATATATACAGCTCCCATCAAAACAAAGAATCCTGGATAGCTAAGTCTCTGCGTTGGTACTGGAACTTCCCCCTCTACGGTGCTGCCGTGACATCGTGTCTTTATATCATTAAGACTTGCTGCAAAGCTGTTTTATGCTGATGAGTAGCACTTAATGAATTTCAGCCAGAAAACTGTGATATGCTGAAATACAAATATATTTTTAAGAGCTATTTTCAGGTCTTACTAAGGAGTAAACAGTTTCCAAACAAAATCAGTGGAGCCAAACAAAACTATGCCATGCTGTTAGGGCCTTCAAACAAAACTGAAGCCCATGGCCACCATCCTGAAATATTACAGTAATAATCCACCGCTCAGTATTGTACGTTTGAAATATTTGTTGAAAGCAGTGCTGAGGACAGAATTTGGTCTGAAGGTCCTCTGCTTGCAAACAGCTGTTCTGTCTAGAAAGAAACACAAGTGGGAGAACACGCAGAGACGAGGGGAAATGCATTTGCCGTAATTTTTGCCTTCTAAAAGTTGGGTGCCCAATCCGGAAAAAATATCTAGGCTCCCTCCACAGTCACTGGAGAGTCACTGACACCTTGAGAGGGCAATCGATCCTCCCTGTTTTAAGATGAAATGATTCATTTTGGAGATGTCCATCTCCATCCTTGAATAGAAGGGGAGTCTAGACAACCAGGGACGAGATACCTAACTTTTAAAGAGCTAGTATTAGGGGAGATGCATCCCTTTACTGAGCACTAAAAGTTTTCTCATGACTCCACAGCATCCACAAGATGAAATACATCTTCCCTCACATGTTATTTTTTTATAAGAACTTATTTGTACTGAAGTCAAGGCTCCCTTTTTCACTCCTTGAGCTTTCTGTTTTTCACCTGGTTTCTATCAGAATCTAGCTAAACTTTCTTTAGATGCTTAGATAAAAACCTAGAATTCAAAATGCTTTCAGGCATCTTTCAGTCAGCAAAAGTGCAATATGAAACCTGGCCAACCAGACTAAACACAGTCAAGTTGTTTCTTAACATCTCAATATTTGGTTACAAATTTCAGTTTCAGGTAAGTCATGAAATGTGTCTTTCTACTACTGAGGCCAACTGGAAATTACATCTGCTCCTTAACTGGCTGCTTGTCTAATCATTTCTAAAACATATGCATCATTAATTTAAGTTCAAAATAATATCGGCCTGCCTTTAATTCTTTTAGCCTTGTTTCCTCCAGAAGGAAGGCCTGCGCAGCAATGCCGTACAGGCATATTTGGTGCTTGCCTCCCTGTGTCAGCCCCACCCTCCGCAGCTCCACCAGCCTCCCTACAAGCTTTGAACCCTCGGGACAATTTCAACTGAGACAGACAGAGGTACAGCAGTCTCACAGATATTAAGTTCGTGATGTGTCATGACACACAGGACTGTGGAGAAAGAAGATTTAATTATTTCCTCACGTAGAGGAAAAAGCTGAAGCCAGATTCAGAATCCATGCAGGCTTTTATCCTAGAAAACATACCCGGAGGAAATCAGACATCAGCACTCCCCGTACTCACATAATTGTCATCAACAAACGACTAATATCATGTTTTTTTTCTTAGTTTAAAGTGCTCTTACAGGGGGTATGAAATAAAAATCTGTTTCTCATCAATTCTTGATCTTAAACGCAGACTAGTTTGCTCATGAGTTTTAGCCCCCTGGTGTGTTATAAATAGCATTATTGAAACAGTAATATCAACCACAAAGTTTTGATGTGAAGGAAGGAAAATTATAGAGAGGAGTAGACTTTGCACTGCCCTGTGTATCGCCTCAAATTCACGGCAGCGGAAATTTCCCATTAAGTCAGGGTTCTGCCTTGTCTTTACAAAACACAAAATAGTCTAATACTACGCACTCTATGCAATTTTATACATAAGCATCTGCAGAGAAAACTGTATCACATCAGCTGCAGTTAGTCATCAAGCCATAAGGCAATGTTCTCCCATGTGTGCAAAATCACAAGTCTCATGGATGACCCCCCTTGACAGCAGTAGAAATTTTGGCCACCTTTCCATCCCAAGGTCATGTTCTACGAGTGCTACAAACTATTATACTTAAGCATTTAACCAGTCTAACTGATCCTTTGTACAGCTGACTAAAATGCACAGTACTTGCTTGTAGACTCCAGGGACGACCACCGCAGAAACAACTTTGAAAATGTACATTAAAGGCTTGAACTGAGCTCATTCGCGCTTTACTATGAATAAAATTAAAAATAGTATTTTCCTTCTCCAACAAAAAAAAAACCTTTATTTTATTTTTTCATTACAGGCAAAAGGAAGTAAAATTTTTCACAGCTCTATAAATCACAGTCACTACTATAGTACCTTACATTCTAGCTGAAGTGTCTTTACCTAAATAGATATATCCTATGTACATTTGAAATCCCACTGTTGCTTGAAACACAACTGTTCTTATAAACCAAGTTTGAAAAGAAATGCAAAGGTCTTTTCTACTTTGTAAAATACTAGGTTCAAAAACAATGCAAAATATGGTATCTTAAAGAAAGTCATAGCATTGCATCTGCGCATAAGTTAATTTATTTGCATATTTACCATTCACGCCTCTTTAGAGGATGATTTTAAACCTGAGTAATAACTGAGTAGAAATATGCTATCTTCGGGGCTCCAAGACGAGCCCCAAAGTGAATCTTTATCAGGCATCAGTGTGCAACTCCATATAATAAAGCCCAGTAAGCGACAAGCGTTTTGGGAATGCCTCCCATCCAGTCAAACAGCAGGTACTGCCTGCCCCCAAAATCAGGAACCACAAGGGGTTCGGACTATATTTGATGTAACGCATTTCTTGTGTTCATAGCATGGTTCTAGTTCTTGACAACAGAGGAATTAATACAGTTTTTAAGAACATGTTCATCCAGCTATCGGCGGCGTAAGTTTTCTGCTGACAATTCACTTATTGATAATAAATGAGACTGTCAAATCGAAATGAGAAACTAAAGTCACTACAAAATATTTTCATACATACCTAGATCTGGGAATATTTTCTGTGCTTTCTCTCAATAAGAGGTCTGAGATCAGTGTCTCTGGGCTTGATCTCTTTCCATATCTAAGGAATGGAAAAAAAAAGCATATTTTTGCACAGCTCAGTATTTAAAAATCAAGACTAACCATAGACCCACGGGCTAAAAACTGAATTGAGCAGACATAAGGACTACTTTCCAGCAAGTATTTTAACTTGATTTAGTCACGTGAGAACATGTTCACGCTTCAGTATTTCATTGGATATAAATATTCTTCCATAATCATTTTATGTGAGAGAGTTGAGACATCCTGAACATTGTTGTTCCCAGACATTCTAGGACCCGGCACCCTGCCAATGTGAGCATGGAGAAAGGGGAAGGAGGCTGTCCATGACATCGCCTCTGAAGCAGGTCCTTCTTCCCTCCAAATCCAGTTCCATTTTCTCATTAACTTGCTCATTAGATTAGATGCTATTATGTCCTTCATTAGAAATTACGTACATGAGGAGTCAAAGACTATCTATCAAGGGAGTGCAAAGGAGAACTCAGTTATGCCATATTACTCATTGAATGGGCCGTGATTTTTCAAGGTAACTAGTATATTTGGGGCGTCCAACACATACCACATTAGGTCCTAGAAACCGAGCTTCCCCAAGCCACGACTCACTCTTGAACTTCTTAGCTATGGGAGAGAGAGCTTTCTGATTCAGGTTTTTTTTTTGGTTAAATGGGATACCACCTGCTACCTTTGTCTTATATCCACACAGCAGCTGTCTTTCTATTTGCATTTTTTAAAATCCTGGATATTTTACTACAGATTGCAAAATTGTTAGAAATATCACAATTCATGCTTCTTAGGAAGGATTTTGCTCTCTTTTCCTCTGAAAGCAGAAGCCACAATGAGCACCCAGCTTGACAGACACTTCCTCTCTACATTCAATAGCTCAGCAGTGATAACTATAAGCAAATGCTCTCTTTTTTGGAAAGAAATAACATCATGGCTTATAACTTGCATATGTAAAAGTTTGAATCACAGATTAGATTAACAGATAATAGCTTTCTGAATGCCGTTTGAGTGAAATTCTGGCTCCAGAAAAGTCCTAAGTGTAACTAAAGACTTACATTTTATCCATTACTATCAAGATGTTTCTTCAATGACTTTATCTAAATCTTGGAAAATAAACATCTCAATCCAAAATATGTTTAAAAAGCTAACAGTGTTATCTGTTGATTTCACGTCCTCCTGAAAAGTGCAAACATATCTCACTTTTTAATCATTTTCCTTAACTACTTGTACTTCTGCATTGCCTTATTCATTTTAGTGCCTCACCTGTGCTCCAGACAGAGGAAGCTGAAGATTCAGAATTTTAAAGTAAATTTCTTAATCAAAGCTGACTGAAAGTGAGCATCTGAAAAGAACCAGCCACACATAGTAAAATGCTATTACAGTAATGCAATCAAGCATAATGCTGAACCCAATGCCTGGCGCTCCACCACCAGAAAGGGACTTCTTCCTAGTTCCCTGTTCCACTTAATATGGATACGATCCGGGCTTAAACTGAGGGTGAATCTAATTTGCCTTTCTTTTAAATATATTGATTTAAAAAATTAACAGCTTGCTCCAACAGCCTGCACTTGAGCAAAAACTGCACTAATCTCTTAGAAAGGTTTTTCTGCATATGAAATGGGTAGCACCTCGCAACAGCACAGAGGCGGTCAGATCAAGAGGACTCTGCTAGGAGGTGCCTTTTACACCTAGCCTCATCAGCGCCTGCGCTTGGTTAAATCAGCGTGCAGGATTGGACCAACCTTGTCCTCTCAGAGCAAAGCTGTGAAGGAGGTGATTGCTGACTGTGACCAACTGGCGGCACCCAAAAAGTGCCCGCTCTTCCTATGTGAGGTGCCTGAGCCTCCAGCTCACCTCGTCATTTTGTCACCTGGGAAACAACCAGGCAACAACAACAATAAAAAGAGGTCATAAAGAGTCCTGAAAGCAATGTCTCAATGCAGAAGTCAACTGCAATGTCTCAATGCAGAAGTCAACTGCTTCTTACTGAAGCAAACACCTTGTGAGATGTTCACTCCGGCTGCCTTATACTGTCTCCCTGTCTGTCCTGCACAGCTCTGAGACATCATGGACACAGAAAGCCAGGCCTTTATTTGCTGTTTAGGAAACGCTTTTTGAAATATCTTCACTGTTTTAAAAGAGCAAGGCTCCAAGCTTTGTGAAAATATCTGGTCAGGTTTTATGCTCAGCTTTAGATACCAAGGCCTATTTCTCAAGCATACCGATAACCCATGACTCCAACTAAAGTCAAAGGGATCTAGGAGTAAACAGCACTTATGTTGATTAGGGCCATGGTATCTCAGACTCAAAAGTCTCAAAGCTTCTTATGAAAACCTCAGCCTCAAGAGTCAAATCCTATCAATGCCCACGGCTGGCAACGGGAGCTGAGGATCTCAGAAGCATCTGGTAGGCAGACGCCTGGTGCCCAAAAAGCCCTCAAGCTCTCAAGATCTGCCCCTTTCCACGTTAAAGGATGTTGAGATTAAGTCAGAGCAAGAGTACTTCCTAGGTCAGACACCCTTTCAGATACTCTCCGCTCTGCCAGCAGGAATAGCCTTAATGTTTCGCTGCAGCACAGAACAGACATGAATGCAAGAACGAGCTGCTAGAGACATGAAAGAAAGAGGGCCTGTCCAAGACAGGAAGCACAGGTAGTACTAAATAGTAGGCCAGGACTGCTTAGAAGAAGGGAGTTTGGCTCTGAAAAGATCCCCCCGAACAGTGCACTAGAGGTGTATGAGGCAAGGACTGGACCACAGGACGATCTTGAGGACAGAGGTGCAATTAATCCAAAGACACACAGAAATCTAAAGCATGGGAGTCTACATCTATGCTGATCTCCTTAGGCTGTCTTTATAGTCAGTGAAGATCTGGCACCTAAGGAATAACTGATTTCACCTGAAACTAGACGTCTGAAACAGGCTGCGTGACTTGCACGCTACAAGTACCTATTGCTCTCAATTAACCTCAAAGGGATACTGGGGTGACTGGCACAGATGTCTAAAGCTGAGTGAGGTGGAGCTGAAGGAGATGGATCTGAAAAAAGAGAGGGAGTAAAGCAGCCTCACAGATGAGTACTGGAGACAAGAGGAAACAGAAAATTATGGTCTGGAAGGAAGAAACTTCATGGGAGCTGGGGCAAAGGCTACGGTGGCTCACAGGGGAATGACAGTCTAATACTTTGCTTAGACCAGAAGCAGACACCAGAAAGAAGAGCCAGATTACATATAGCTACAGAAACATCCAACAAGACAAGACAGATCAACCTGGAAAGAAAAAAAATTGACATCCACCTCATCCTTTCTCCACAGGCTTTTATTGCTACTTCTCACCAGTTGTACAGGGACCTGCAAGCCTCAGGCTGGCTCCACTGGGCTGCAGCCACCAGGTCCGGCAAGAGGCTGAGCACAGCCTGCTCACGGTCCCCCAGCAGAGGCAGAAGAGCCTCCAGGTCTTTCTGTCTCCCTCTCATTACAGGGCTCCCGAACCCTCAGTGCCAAGCACCACCCAGTGAAAACAAGTGGAAGCTGCTATGGAGGACCCTCATCAGAGGCAAAACGCTGTAACGAGAAAGACTGCTTTCAACACTTCTGCCGGAACAGACCAAATGATTCACCTTCTTAGATGAGTCCAAAATGCTTCAAAAGATAATGATTTTGCAAGTGCCTGCCACTGCTGACATAGGGAACCTCCAAGAGTTCAGTTAAGCTTTCCAAATGGAGGCAGCAATTACTTCATTTCTGTGCTGTTAATTCACCCCCAAACAGAAACCGCACACCTTTTTTAATTAAGTTCCAATTGCATAGCCACCTCTGAAATGTGGTATCATGAAGCTGCCACTGAAGTGTTCCTATCTGTCATCTTTCTTTTACTTCCAGCTCAATTCTGTTTCCCCTAAATCTGTTAATGGTGCATGGTAGCAGGAGAATCTCTTGGCTGAAATGTGGAGAACAAAAGTGAAATTCTGCATCGTTTCATCCATGAGCAACAATAACTATTTTAGGTCACTTCCGAACACCAATACACACATACGAATGAAAGTAGTCTCAATCTCTGAGCTGTGCACTTGCACCCCAGAATTGAGAAAAAAGTCACACGTTTGTCATTAAAGCAAGAGTATAAGGGACATGAAACAAATACAAGAAGTGAAGGATGAACAAGAAAGTTCTTTTTTCCTCCAGTCTGGTTCTGGACAGGGACTACCTTTGAAACTGGACACAACAGACACAGAAGAAGAGAAACCAGCATAGACATTCCACTGTAATGAAGGGAAAAGGGTGGTAGGGGCAGAACTTGAGGAACGGATCATTTTAGCCACAGTCTCCAAAAAAAGTTACTAGAGCACAGACTAACACATGGAAGCTTGCCATACACATGAGCAAGTTGTGAATATTTCTATAAAAGTCCAGGGCTGAAGAACTGTAGTTCTATCAGCCTCTTCATCTGTTTTATGATATTAGTGCCCTGGCAGACAATGTTATGGGTTTGCTGGGAAAGCTCTCAGCTGCACGATAGCCTCCCTTCTAATTCAATTCTTCAGACTTCTAGAAGGGCAAATGAAAGCCTAATTATAGATCTCTCATATGTTTTTGATAATGAACAAATAAAGAAATACTCCAAAGCTTCTCTGGGTCACACAGTGTTCAGGGTCCTCAGTGGAAACTTCTATTAGTTGTATAGTCTAAATTGGACAGATGCTCCCAAATAAAAGAACCTTATATTATAATTTTTACTTTTTGAGACTGAGCTTTTACTACTACTCTAACAAGAACGGTCATTCCTAGAAATCCAGTTTGGAGCAACATAAGTCTGGCTTGCACCTTTTTTTCTTTTGGTTTGAGCTGCGGGCTGGAGAGAGGTTTTTACTTGGACTAGCGCTATTTTTGGCAATAACTGCCATATTAAGTAGTTAACGAACCATAAAGCTTCTGAACTACTACAACTCCTCAGCATGGATAGAGAAGCACTTTCTCTGAGTGAACTCTTCATTAAGACACAGTGGCTGCAACGAAGTGTGAAAC